CTTAAAACATTACTGGGTATTGCATAAGGGTTTGTTAAAATATTAGACATGTAATACATTATTATTACAGAACCGGCTGCTTGACGCAAAGCAACATTAGGAATTTCTTCAACGAGACGCAGACCATCACCATCACCGATCCAAATAGCGACTTGGTAGCGACAATACCAACGTACCCGCGCGGCAAGCCGCACTTCCTCGGCGGATCCTTTCGCGGCAAGTGAAGAATCCCCGCACCATGAAGAGGATAGTCCATTCGACTCCGACTGGGTCGCAGTCATCATAGAGGCATCCGCTGATGATAGAGTCAAATGAGCTAACCCAGGAAAATGGCACAAGCTGGAATTGAACCAGCGACCTCCCGTAAAAATCGCGCTGTGGTGCTCTTACCACTGAGCTATTGTGCTGTAGTCAAGCTCTGACTATAAGTTTCTTTAACTTCGAATTTGTCAGAGTGTCCGGGGCCTCGTACCCCATCATCCCATCTCGACTTTGAGATGTTGACCTCCTGGGCAACCCAATCACACTCTAAAGGTGCAAGAACAGATTACCATAGAAGGCAATCTACCCTCGCGGTGGGCTCCAAATGATGATAGAGTCAAATGAGCTAACCCAGGAAAATGGCACAAGCTGGAATTGAACCAGCGACCTCCTGTATCGCGCTGTGGTGCTCTTACCACTGAGCTATTGTGCTGTAGTCAAGCTCTGACTATAAGTTTCTTTAACTTTGAATTTGTCAGAGTGTCCGGGGCCTCGTACCCCATCACCGATGCGTACACGCTCCCCAACCAGTCTATCCATGTCGCCCACAGAATAGCGCTGGTCTTCGCGCACCGCTGGGCATAACATTTTGAGCGCCGTGACAAACTCCTCATATGTCTTGGCTGCGTCCTCATATTCTGGTAACCCTTTCCACATCTCTTCTTTGTGCATAGGCACATATTTGACGGCAGCACGCTTCTTGTCTGCTTCGTTTGTTATGAGGGTCAGGTGCGCCTTGAAGAGATCCTCTAGATCTTCCAAGTAGCGCAATAGCGATTGCGGGTTTTCGGGATCGAATACCGGCACTGCCTTGTCGCGACGCGATGGGAGAGCTTTGACATCTGTCATTGGGTTGGTCTCAGAGATGGTTTCTGGAGTGGATGGTGGGAGGACTGGATGTTCGTCGATAGGGGAGATGGGCGGCGGTGAAGTGGTTTGTGAAGGAGGTGCAGATAGCGCAGCTATGCGAGCTGATCGGCGCCTTGGAAATAGCAAAGCCAGGGGTACCTCTTCAGAGGATTCTGAGTCGCTGTGAGGGATGTCGGATGGTGTTTGGGCGAAATGACCCGGATAGAGACGGTTGGCGATAGCTACTGCTGTGTCGTAGACTTCCTCAATCGCTTCGCTATTAATGTGCTCCCTTTCGACAAGGTCTAGGAAACGTTCTTGGTGCTGTTCGAGCTCTCTATGGAGATCGCTATCGTCTTGATCGTGCCCCAACGTCTCGTGAAATCTCCCCTCGCGGTGGGCTCCAAAATGATACGCACAGACACACGACGAAACCCACGGAAATGAGACCTAAAGTGTAGACACAACCACAAAGCAAAACGCCAAAGCCCTTGGTGTCAGATGGCTGCGAGGCCCGGGGTAGCAAAGGGTAATATAGTTCGGAGGGGATGGGTGGAGGTGAGACGTATAGTTGGGGCTAAAGGAAGGTTGGCGCCAAGTCGCTACTTGGCGGCAGTCTGTGGAGTGAAGGCGATGCTATGCGCTATGTAGCGCTATATGCATGGCGCTGTATGGGCGCTGTACGATAGTCCTCTTGTTCGGCGCTATGTGGTCTTCGACGCTCTATAGTGGAGCGCTACTGGTAGTCGCTATCCCTAACTCAGACGTATATTGACTCTGATTAGCACTATGCTACAGTGCACGGGGCTGTCTTGGAGAAGGGAACGTATATGGGTGACTTTATGAACAGCGACGCTACGCTGGCGTACTCTGTCGCTATCTCTGGGTGAAGTTGGAGGTACGCAAGAGTACCTAAACGCGAGTCGCAAGACGGACTTAGAAAGAAAGCTCTGATGCAATACTGAGATCTGAAGAGTGTGGTGAAGATAACTTGTTGTACAGACAGTAAAGTAATGGCTTAAATACATAAGAACGACTACTCTGTGTCCGATCCTATCTACCTACTACCGTGAATTGTGCCTCTGCTCAGCCTCACATCCATATGACCTGTACTGCCTTGCTCCTAATCCACATGCGCCCTGCGACCAATAACCTGTGCGACCAACTCTAGCACGCGCGCCGCTCCGCGGACGGGAGCCAGTCGGGTGCATCTTGACTTTGCGTTAGGGTGCGCCTCTTCGATGATCCGGGGGCGGGCTATGCTGCCGAAAGAGGGATAAAGGGCGGGGCCACTCTGTGGTGCGGCGGTGTCATGATAGCCGTGGTCACGCCATGTGTCGATGCGCACTGCACACATAAGGAAAGTCACGCCAATAGAACTTGCGCTGATCCAAGGCGACGGCGGGCTGTACGCCATATGGAAAGGCGCCCTGAGACACCGCCTCAGTTCGGACCACAGTAAGAACGCCGGCCGACACATGCTGAAATGCCGATGACTTGACTGAATGACGCTCAACATCCGAGCTACTGAGGAGCCGTCCTAAGTCCGCCGAGGAGCCGAGAGCCTTGTCGCTGGTGCGTAGGGTCGCTAGTGCGCAGAGTACCAACAGTGCGCTATTGAGTCGCTAAGTCGCCGTTCCCACGAAGCGTGCGGTGACAGGCTACAACACACAACAACCACCAAAAACACCTAGAAAACGCGGAGGGAACTCCGTCTAATAGTGTCGGCAGTCGAAGGGCAGAAGGGTA